AATAAATAAATAAATAAATAAAATAAATAAAAGAGCCAAGGTTGCCTACCTCTGAACTAGAAGACTTCCAAGTTTCCTTCCAACTCTTGTTATTCTGAGTAGCCTCTGAAATACAAGCAGTGCCCTCAAGTTTCGATGTTTATAAGCCTGCATTTGGAGATCGGAGCAAGTTTGAGTGGGTACTGGCAATTATTACAAGTAGTCCTCAACTTATGACCACAGTTGGGACCAGTATTTCCATTATTAAGCAAAGCATTTGTTAAGCGAGTTGTAGCCAGTTTTCCAAGCTTTTATGGCACGGTTAAATGAATCATTCAGCTTAGTGTTAAGCAAATCTGGCTTTCCCCATTGACTTTGCTTGTCAGAAGCTCCCTGGAAAGGTCATGAGTGGCGATCACATGACCCTGAGACCCTGCCTCCACCGTCAATACATGCCAATGGCCACACACCTGAAATTTGGTCACGTGACCGTGGGGATGCTGAGATGGTTGTGTGAGTCCCAGATGTAAGTCACTTTTTCAGTGCCGTTTTAACGGCACTGTAAGTTGAGGGCTACCTAATTATCAGATTTAGGACGATTGCATATGTTCTATTTATTTTCTTTTTACTCTTTGGATCCTGTGATTCTGTTTGATGGCTTTTGTAAACTGCTTGGATTCAAATGCTTGGTGTAGAACTGGCTGTCTTAAATGAGCAGCTGAGCCCAACATTTCTGTTATTAAGCGAAACATTTGTTAAGTGAGTTTTGCCCCATTTTATGACCTTTCCTGCCACAGTTGTTAAGTGAATCACTGAAATCGTTAACTTTGTAACATGGTTGTTAAGTGAATCTGGCTTCCCCATTGACTTTGCTTGTCAGTGGGGAAGCCAGAAGGTGATCATGTGACCCCAGGACACTGCAACCGTCATAAATATGAACCAGTTGCCAAGCATCCAAATTTTGATCATATGACCACAGGGATGCTGCAATGGTCATAAGGGTGAAAAAAAATCATAAGTCACTTTGAACGGTCACTAAATGACCTGTTGTAAGACGAGGACTACCTGTACTGAACAAACAACAGTGTTTCCACAACTTCCTTACCAGGGATGTCTGTGGTAGGTGGGGCCTCAGAAAAAGTCAAGATGGCAGTCATGACTCATGAGATCAAAGCCTTGTCACTTTTTAACATATATGCAATTCCTATTAAAAGGAATAGAGCTTTGATCTCAAGATTGCAACTATCCTTCTTTTACTTTTTCAACCTCTCTTCTGTAAACACTCCCAATTATTATCTTGTTTAACAGAGAAAGAAATGGACCACAAGGATTGTATATAAAATTCATGCAGATGTACAGTACTAAAGAAGGATTATGTTGACACTCTAGTCAAATTTCAAGCATGCTTTATGTGCTAACTCCTGTCATGGAGATTTAAGGCTTTTGTTTTGTTTTGGTTTTTTTTGCTTAGTTTCTCTTTTCCAATCTTTTACTCTGTTTACCAGAAAAAAAAGATTATCTTGAATTTAAAAGATTCTCCCTGAGAGCAGTTGTAGCCAGAGAAAAAAGGAGGAAAAAAACCTTATCTTTTTTACCCTATTCTCAGCAAATCTAAATTCATCCTCCTGTCTTAAAAGTTAATTACTTGAGAGAGAAAAATCAGTTGTCCTTTCATGTAAATCTCCAGCTATTTCAGATTGCTTTTTATCATGAGGCATTTCTCAGATTCAACTGCAAAGTAAAATCAATTACCCTTTTGTTAATTATCTCATCTTTTCATGATCATTATCTTCATAAATCATTCTCCTGCTAAATCTTTATATTCTATTTCCTCTGCCTCCCTCTCCACTTGCTCTCTTTCTATCACCCATGCAACATTTCAGTGTTGTCATTCCCTCCAAAAGAGATCTTGTTGTTTTAGTTTGACTCTTCATAACAACTCTGAGCTTGGTTGTTTACTTGCAGTCATTTTATTATCGGACTAGGTAACATCATCAATTCTATTGAATGTGGGGCTTGTTCCCTGTTTATATACAGTGACTTGCCCTGCTAGTGTTGGTGAGGTTGTGGTTTTCTCCTTGGAAGTTCCTTGATTAGGGTATTGTTTTCTACTTGATTATTTTCCTGGTGTTAAATCCTGCTTATCTGTGTGCTGGTTGCTAGAAAGGATGTATTCTGGCCTTTCTGTTTCCTTCTTAGCTTTTGAATGGTATGTAAATGTGGTTTACCTCTATGTGCCTGTTGATGGCTAATTTGTCGAGTTTCCAAGAATTGCCTAGCATTTTTAAATTTAGATTAATATAGGATGCTTAGTTTCCCAGCTGAAACTATGGTTAAGTATTAAAAAGTATTCATCATGCCTTCTGAATGGTAGTTGATATTCATGGATGTGCTTTGCTAGTCTTCTGCCTGTCTGTCTTAATAAGGGCTGTTGCAATCCTTAACTGGTATGTTTGTGTTTCCTTTGTATATTGTATCTCTGTGTTTCCTTTGCAGAAACAACTGGAAGATTATCTCGCAAATCTCTTAAAAATGCCCCTGTACAAGAATTATCATGGAACAGTAAGTGACCTTCAGATGGTATTTACTTTTGTTAGTTAAAGTTATTCTGTGATTATTATCTGATTGTTTGGTAAAGAAAGATTAAATTAGCGCTGTGAGTTATAATTGACAACTTGATTTAAATATGTATAAATTATAACTTTAAGAGGTTTTCAAAAGGGTTTGGGCTGCCATATCAGAAATATTTGGGGTTTTTTTTTTAGGTGAAAGAGACATTTTGATTTTGTAAACCATAGCTTATGTTTAGAACAATATAAACCTAGCTAGTTACAACTTTTTCAGCAAATCATGGTTAAAGAACAACGCTAATCCAGCCAATCTGAAATTTATGTGTAATGTTCTTTCTGATATCAAGGTGTTATTGGCTGAATCTTGTGTTGTAAAGTACTACTGTAATGGAGAAATTAGCTCCCATTTTTCTTATTTCCTGCTTATCTTCTTGCTCTCTGTTTTCACTGCTTTTTTTTATAAAGGATACCCTCTCATTCATTGACTTAGCATGTGATATGATCCCCAAAAATATAACATTCATAATATGTGTATGTAGTGGGAAGGAGCATATCACTTAGATCTTCACCAAAGTTTAGGATTCAGTAAATTTGTGAGAACCCAGAGACAACTATATGTAGTCCTCATTTAGTGATTGCCTTGTTTTGCAACCATTCATAGTTACTACAGTGATGAAAAAATAACTTTGCAGCCAATCTTTGTATTTATAACCTTCACAGGTCCGTAAAGCAAAGGAAAACTGAAGTAAGATCCTAAGCACAGTTGTCATTTCAGTAAACAACTGAGTTGTGGCCCCAATTGTGGTTGCTAAATGAGGACTACCTATACTATTGAAGAAATTGCTACTCTTTTCTATGTTATAACCAAAAACCTAACTATCTACAAGGTGAGAGATGTGATGATGCAGTGGTTAGTATGCAGTATTGCAGGCTAATTTTGCTGACTCACCTGCTCAAGGTTGACTCAGCCTTCCATTCTTCCAAGGTTGGTAAAATGAGGACCCAGACTGTTGGGGGCCATATGCTGTAAACCACTTAGAGAGGGCTATAAAGCACTATGAAGCAGTATATAAGTCTTATTGCTTTTGCTATCTCTACTTCACTAATCACATGCAAATGTGGGAATCTGAATTAACAAAAGTTTACTACGATAAAGCTCAGCCACAATTTCCCCTTTTCAGTTTCTCTACCTGTTTTATGGAACTAATATTGCATAAAAGACATTTCTGCTTGAAACAGTGAAGAGTCTATTAGGCAGAGAACAATGCCGTCAGAAACACTTGAACTTCTATGTGTAGAGGCTATGTATCTCTACTTCTAGCTGTTGGATGTGACAAGAGAGAACTGTTTATGACATGTGGCATTCCTGGAATTGTCTAGTTTCCATTACTTGAAACAGAATGCTGAACTAAACAACCCAACAGGGCCCCCCTTTATGTTTTTCAAAAGGTGATTATAATTTGTCACCTGTTTGGGTAGGCTTGAACTAGTGTACATGTATAATAACATAATTGCCTTCTGTTCATAAATGCAATATTATGCCAACTTGGCACTTGGAAATGTTGAGTCATTGAAGAGGATTTAAGTACACAGTGCTGCAGTGTGAAATTTTGCTCCTGCAATGTTTTCACCTCTTACAGCGGTTCTCCAAGGCAGGTGTTCACTTTCTTTGTGGAATTTTACTGCTTGTTCAACAATTAATTTCTGGTAGCAGGAAATAATTCAAGTCCATTGAAGAATTATTTCAGGGGCAGAGTTTTAGATTCCAAATGTGTATACATGCACAGAAAGGAATACATGGGTGTGCCTGGACACGTATCCCAACAGTAATATTTCTTTGTTCTGCACATCCTGAAGAATAAAGTCACTTCCTGTATTAGGGAGTACATTTAATTACCAGATACTGTCTAGGTTATGGTCTTCCAGCATTACTGTTTGTGTACTTGATAGGTTTGTGGCTTTTCTGCCTTCTGGTTCTGTTGCAATATTGAATGCTGAGTTACAATCCAGGATTCATCCTGAATCCTATTATGCTTATCTTTTATATCATTCTCTTGGATGCTTTGATTATAGTCATTGTTTATGCCAAAGATCCTCTGATCTGTTGGCCTTTTGTAGTTTTCAATGATGATGGATGGTCAACAGCGTGTTTGTAAGACTTTCGTCTTGGGTGCTTTTTTCATCAGTGATGATCAGCTAATTCTGCATCCATTTGTTCACTATACAGCAAGGTCACTAATTCTCATTTGAAACCAATAACTGCTTATTGATTTGGTAATTGTGAGCTGTTTACCCCAGGTGGTAGTTTTGTAATTGCTGCATTTTTAAAAATTGCACTGCATCTCTGTAAAACGTGCATATAAGCATTGTAAAGAAAGAGATAAACAATCAGTGTCCTGCATGCGGTGCTTCACTTGAGATTCCTATAGCCAAAGTGAGTCGGTGGGATTAAAAATGTTGACCCAGTTTTTCTGCTATTTGCATGTGGAGGGAGAAATTAGTGCTTTAAGCCCTTCCCTCTCCTCAAAGGGCAATTCACTCCATTAGCAGAAAATTAAGGCCAAAGTGGGTGTCTTAAGTCAGAACACAAATCCTTAGAATGTTAAGCTAAGAATGTGGTCATAATCATAATTGCCTTTGTTTCTGGCTTAAAAGAACCTGAATTTTGTGTTTCAGAGGTGGCACGAAAGATTCTTTGGGACTTGTCTCCACCAAACAGCTGTTGCCAATTCACATTTAATTCTCCCTTCCTCTTAGAGGAATTTTCCCTACATGTTTCTCTTGTTCCATCAAGAGATGTTGGATGTTGACACTGAAATCTTCACAGGCCTTACTTTATAACCAAATTCATTGAAAAACCTGGTTGAGAACTTGAGTATTCCTTGGGATGGCTAAGGGAATCTCTAACTTCAGATGTAGGCATAGAACAGGGGTCTATGCAACCTTGACAACTTTTAAGACTTGTGGACTTCAGCTCCCAGAATTCCTCAGCCAGCTATGACATTCTGGGATTCTGGGAGCTGAAGTCCACAAGTCTTAAAGTTGTCAAGGTTGCAGACCTCTGGCATAGAAGATGTTACTTTGCTGTCCTTTATGGGATTTTGCAGCTTTTAAGCTCAAGGCATTCTACAGTACTTTTTTGCAGTACTGTTTCTCTTAATGATTACTCTGTAGACATGAAAAGATGGCAGAACCGCTGGACATACTGTCCAGAACTGCTCCATGCACCAGTACTTAGAAGGCGAGGGCTGGGCAGCACAAGCAAACAACAGCCAACAACTTAAAAGCCAGCCATCAACACACCCCGATCAGCATCTAAAAAGCCACATACAACAGGCACTATAAATGTCACGCACAGAACAGTACACATTCTGCTAGAGAGAAGTTTCCTGAGGATGGTCTCTAGCATGAGTCCAAAAGCTTGGAAGACAAAACTAACCCAGATAGGATCCTGCAACAAATCTTTTTGCTTAATATATTGACAAGTCTAACCCTAGGCAGCTAGTTTGTTTCAGTACATTATCTTACCTAGAGACAACCATATTTAACAATGTTTCACTAACATGGCTAATATATATTTTTTAATTTTGGCCCCAAACCATGTATGACAGTACAATATATGATTATAGCCAGTTTGCCTTATTCAACAAATAATTATAAAACTAAAAGGGTCGGACACGACAACGCAACTAACAACAAAAAACATAGCTAGCACAATGTGTAAACATGGATACTGTTTGTTGGAAAAGCCATAGTGCCTTTTTCATATTTAACACTAAAGCCATATAGTCTGGCTTGGATTACTGTGATGGTTTAAGTTCATCACAGTAACCCAAAACCAAATAAATTAGTTCATTATTTATTAAAATATCTGAATCAGGGTTTGGCTCAAATATGGTTTGTGATTCCAGGAATAATAATGTATATTTTCCCCCATTATGGAGAGGGCAACACCTGTATGTGTCTTGTCCCCAATAGAGGTTTCCTGCTGACCTCATCATCATCAACAACAACAGCAGCAGAAGTTATCCAACCTTTGACAAATGCAAACATTCCAAAATATATCAGTACAAAATTATAGTGCTATCATCTACAGGCAATACAAATACCCAAGAAGCAGGAATTTTGTATCATTGTGGAGTTCTTCCTGTTCTCTAATCTTGGTTGTTTCCTTGCAGATGTTTTGTTGTCTAATCAGGTAACATCCTCAGTGAACTGGTGATGTTATCTAGCTGGGTAATAAAATGTCTGGAAGTAAACAACCAATTTCAAAGATGACCAAGAATTCCACAGTTCAAATCTGAGCTATATTCCCTTTTATTAGCATTGCATCATTCTTAATCTGAGTAAGACCTCAACCCATAGCTTGCTTCTCTGCAGTTTTCAGAGCATCACAACCACAATTTTGTGGAGGAAATTTGGGCTGAGAAATGGTGGTCATCCAGTATCCCAATGAGGTATAATGGTTGAATGTAATCTTGGGTTTTCTCTGTTGTCAGCTTAACCACTAAAACACACTGGTCCTTTGCTTATAGAAGATTCTAGGTTCAGTTCCTCTCTGGGAGAAATAATCAAGACTATAAACATTGGAGAAGCTTCTAGATGAGTCCTGGGATATCTGCCATTATTCAGAGGCTGTGTTGCCATAACATGCCTACTTGATGGTTTTCTCAACCCAAGTCTCTGGTTTTGGACCAACCCTACAAAGGTTGGATTTACACAACATACTAAATGCATTTAGCTTGTTTGTGGTTCTGCATTTTGTATAGAGGTCACAGAATAACAAGATGGGTCCGGATGAAACTGACTTAGCTTAAGGCCACTTTTTCTATTCTCCTGGCCCACAACAAGTTCGACCTCAGAAGATAATGGTCAACATGGAACTTTTCAATAACTTTTGCTCTGGCATTTATGGCAAGATTAAATGTTGTAGAATCCTACCTGTTTCACTGCTATTTTCATATGGGATCCTATCAGGTGAAAGAAGTCAGGAACCAGGATAGAAAGTACTACACCTTTATTTCATACTACATTTAGATAAGAATCTGAACCACAAGGTGAATTGATCCCCAATAAAACTAAGGTGACATCAAAGGGGCCTGAACTTAAGTCTCTTATGGGAATGTAGAGACTTCAAACTGATGATGCATTTAACCCTGCCATCAGGCTTGGCCTAGTTGTCTCCTACAGATTCCCTGTCACAGGAAATAAATATCTGTTTTTGCTGGAAATTGATTTAAGCATCCCAGAAACATTGTAGTAAAGCAATACATAGACTATTTTTGCATTAAATTAATGGAAAATGTTCCCTTTCCCTTTGTATTTCACTTTTCAGATGGAATTCCTTGGTGTAAGTCAGTTGTCATTCATCCATGATCTAGGACCTAAAGGCATGTAAGTCTTGGCCTCTTTATGAATATGTTTATTGAAAACATTTCTGTTTCCTGTTTTCAACTTCTGGTTTAGAGAACGTTTAAGTAGAACATATAACTGCTCTGGAAAGTAGGGCAATTATGTGTGTTTGGTGCCATTCATTTGTTTGTTTACTTAATTTCTCATATTTCTATAGTTGCCCATCTCACAACAAAGTGATTTTAGGCAGCTTACTGTACAACAGAAACAATCCTAAAAATCCAAATGTAAAATAACTGGGATTTAAAAAACAGCCAGCAATATTATTGCTGTAACAAGACAGTGGACAGAACTGATGTTAAAAACAATACAGACATTTCATTAACTCACCATTTGCATTGAGATCCTCAGGCCTGCTGACACAGCCATGTTTTAAGGCACCTCTAGGAAGATGTCAAGGATGGGGCAAATCTCACCTCAGAGGGGCAGACAATATTCCACAGGGTAGGTGCCACAGCAAAAAAGGCCCATCTTCTTAAAGGACCCACAGCATACCTCTTCTGCCTGACCTGACAAGACAAGTAGATATAATCAGGTGGAGGCAGTCCCTCAGGTAAACTGGCCCCGTGCTAGGAAGGACTTTAAAAGTGAAACCCAGCATTTTGAATTGGACCTGGAAGCAAACTGGTAACCAGTGCAGTTCATAGGACAGCAGTGTTTCAAAAGTGCTTTTTTAAAAGGAAAGCGGCCTTTCTTGTTTTTCCTTGAAGATATTTCAAGTCAGAACTGAAGAAGCTTCTTGGATCAAAAGTGAAATGTCCTCAAGGAAAAATAAAGGAAGCCTAGTTGCCTCTCAAAAAAGCATCTTTGGGACAATCATGACCCGGATGACTGAGAATCTCCATAGACATAGGACAGGAGTGTAACATGTGCCAGTCTGGAGACACACATAGCTGCCTGTCCTGCTGCATTAGGCATCAGCTGAAGCTTCTGGATATTCTTGAAGGGTAGCCCCAGGTAGAGCATAGTACAGTAGTCCATTTGGGAGGTGACCAGGGCATGAGTGACTGTGAGCAGTCCAGGAACTGGTGCACAACACAAAACACAAACACAAGGGCATTGAAGCTGTACGTATAACCACACACATGCCCAGTTAATGCAGATTTCTGACCTTTCAAAATTTTGGTAGGGAGAATTGGGTAAATATTCAAGTTGTATGCAGAAAGATACACAGGTGACAACACTTAATCAATGTGACTAATTTTGAAAAAGCTAAGCAGGGCAGCGAATGGATAATACTGTATGGGAGAACACTGGGAAATCTTAGAACTGTAGGATAGCTGGAAGAAGGTATTGATAAACTACATTCATGTGTTGTAAGAAAACAGTATGGGTGCGTGGGTGTGTGTCCATGTAATCACCAGAAGCTGTGCTCAAACCTGAGGGAGATTTTATGCAGAAAGAGATTTGCAGGATGAGAAGCTGTGAATTTTTCAGCCACCTCCTGCTTCTATTTCTGTAGCAACTAGAGTTAGTGACAACTTGTCGTGAAAGATTTCCCCCCTCTAATTCCTGCCAACTACAACATTGCCTAAAGCGATGGCGAACTGATGACATGTATGTCACAGGTGACATGACATGCCTCCAGATCAAGGGCAATCCATTTACATAACCTGATTAAGAAAAAGCTATGAATGTGTGCATGAAATCATCACAACTTGTGAATTCCAGAGAGTTGAAGGCAGATTCTAGCTGGATGTTCTTTTTAAAAAAATGGAATTCCTAATGATAAGAATTCAGCAGAAAGTTGGCAAGCTCTCCTTTGCTGATATATTTGCTGGATATATTCAAGCAGAGACGACGGAACTTTCTATCCAGGAACATTGGATTCCTGTCCTGGACAGGGGATTGGATTTGATAACCTAAACATCTGCCCCTAGCATTACAGTTCTGTAAATCTGAAACAGACACAGCTTTATAGTCAGTCATGAATAGACTTGATTGTACTAGCTGGCTCTACCATGCTTCACCACGTGGTTCTTTCAATGTTGGCTTATTTCATATTTATTGTATTATTTGCCTCTGGCTGGTAATCCAAGAAGCAAATCTTAAAGGACACATGCTTTGCTTTTAGTTTAAGGCTTCACTTGTTACCAACTAAAGAAATAAGCAAGCCATCCATTCAAGAAGTCCACTGAGAAATAGATTTAGGTTAGAGCATGATCTGGTGGATTTATTGTTAACCAAGCATAAATTGTGGTTGTTTGAATGCATCCAATTCAAGGTATTGGTATCAACACTTAAAAGTCCTGCAGGGCAAAGGCCCAGGTTATCTTGGCAAACTTCTTCTCTAGGTAGACTCTGCCCAAAATATTCGTTCAGCCTGGGATGGGATATTGTGGGTACCCTGCCTTCTGAGTTTAGAGGCGAAGAAAGCCAGAAGCACAGCTTTGTAGTGATCACCCAACCCTCTGGAGCTAAATCATATGAACACTATATTTGGCATATTCAGGTTAACAATGAAACAATTCAGACAGCCTTTTGGAGTTTGAAAACCTATGCACAGGGCGCCAGTGAGTTTTGTGTTAATTTTATGTTCAGTTTTCACTCTGTAAAATTTGATGGATTTTAATGATGCTTTAATATTGGATTCAGTAAGGAAAGAGTATATATAAGTATCGCAAATAAGTAAACCTTGCAGACAAATTATAGAGATGGTTCCTGATATGAAAAAGGAAATGCACCGGGGGTCTCTTTCTTCGTCTTTGAAATTGGTTGGAAAAAACCCTGCAGGATTGGACTTTGTTCAGTGATATCCAGTAGAGCAGTGTTTCTCAACCTTGTCCATTTGAAGATGTATGGACTTCAACTCCCAGGATGCCCCAGCCACTCATGCTGGTTGGGGAATTCTGGGAGTTGAAGTCCACACATCTTCAAGTGAACAAGGTTGAGAAACACTGCAGTAGAAAAAAAAACAAATAGGTTTTTCTTCTAAAGATTTGCTAAATCATTGCACCCCCTTTTCTTTTCTTTGTTTCCAGAGAGGGTATGATTATGAAAAGATCTGGAGGACACAGGATTCCTGGCTTGAACTGTTGCGGGCAAGGAAGGTTATGCTACCGATGGTCAAAAAGGTACTTTTGTAGAAATTCTGAATTTCTTTCTAGATGCTCTTTTCCAGCATTAAGCTGAATATATTAGCAGCAAAGAAAAAAAAAGCTGCAGGTGGTACAAGTAATTTTTGCTCTCTTAACAGCTGTCTGGTACGTTTTAAGCAGAAGAAACATTTTGAAAAAACCGGAATGATATTACTCTCACCTAAACCAGAGATGCAAAACTAGTGACAGATGGAGTTGTATATATTAAATTGGACCCCTTTTGCACTCAGTTTCATGAATTACCTGGCAATAACTCATAGCTCACCTTTATTCAAGCACCAGGAGCCCATTTTTAATACTTTTCTGCTTTGTTCCTTTTCTTTTCAGAAAGACCAATAGGGATCAAATTTTTTTACCTTAAAAACAGCAAGGACACAACGTGGGGGCAGGGATTAGTGAATCCAGATATATTTTTTCAGAACATACTGTCCAGATAGGTAGGACAAACACAAGTTTTAATGTAATTAAACAACTAAATACGGTTCAGATTAGTTAGCCTTTATTACAAGGCTAAAAGTTGGTGTACCTCAATGTTTTGTGCAAAAGTCGGTATAGAGCAGTGGTGGCAAACCTATGGCACAGGTGCCAGAGGCGGCACTCAGAGCCCTCTCTGTGGGCACACATGCCATTGCCCAGCCTCACCTCCCCCCACAACCCCCTCCTCTCCAGCAGCCCCCCTGAAGGAGAGTTGCCTCTGAGCGTGGCCCATGCAGAGCAGCGCAGCCAAGGACATGGCAGCCAGGCAGCGTAGACAAGACTTTGCCCTCACACCCCATCATGCACAGTTGATGCTGCAGGGTGCGGGCAGAGGGTGTGACCACCATAGCGTTGCTGGGCTGCCTGGGCACTCGGTCTCTAAAAAGGTTCGCCATCACTGGTATAGAGATTCATAGATGGATGACGTGTTCAGGCATAGCATGAGAATCAAATGCATTAAAACTACTGTGTTTAGTTGATAACTGGGATTCATCAATCAATTCAAAACATTTTAATTTTAAAGACAGTGCCCTCAGTTAATGTTACCGAGAGCCAGTCTGGTGTGATGGTTAAGGCACCTGGCTGAACTAGGGAGATCATGAGTTCTAGTCCCATTCAGGCACAAAGCCAGGTGGGTGACCTTGGGCCAGTCACTCTTTCTCAGCCCTAGAAGGAAGAAGACAATAGCAAACCACGTTCAAAAATCTTGCCAAGAAAACTTCAGGCATTTGCCATGAGTCAATATTCTCTTGACGCACCACACACACACACACACACACACACACAATCATTATTCCTATTATTCCTATTTGATGAATAATCAATGCATACTTTTCTTCTTAAAATGAAAGATTCATTGATTAGGAATTAAAACACCCTCCTACAAAGGAACAGAGTAAATTGCACTTCGGGTTAGCGGCTAACTAAGCAATTTATTAATTAAATTTAAAGTGACAGTGTATACTTATAAAATATGCCACAGCCTTACTTTAGGCTTGTTTTTAGGTAGGAATGGCATTCTGCTTATGAACTATGGCTTCTCTAGTTCATTTTCTGTCATTATTTTAAATGCAAATAAAATATTTTTTAAAAAAAAAACCCTGATGGTTTCTCTCATTGGAAACAACCTCTTTGTAGAAATAACCTCAGTGGGTCCAACTTCAAAGAAATGCTTCAAGGCAGCCACCAGCACCTTTTAATTTTTATGAAATGACTATGGAGCCTAAGGAAGGCCCAAAGGCATCTCTGGATATACAGAAAAGACCAAGCTACAGTCTTGCACTTTCTTTGGCTTGTTGGCAGGTCCATGGAAGTCTGGAAAGACTGTTATTGTGGCCATTGTCTGGCTAATCCCTGACTTAGGATGGTCCTTGGTCTATATAGACACTTTCCTAGGTGGGCTGGGGTTTAAGTCTCATCTAATATGATATGATGGATGATTGAGGGAACTAGTATGTCTAGTCTAGCAAAGAGAAGGAGTAAGGGGGATATGATAGAAGACTTCCAGTACTTGAGGGTCTGTCACAGAGAAGAGGGTGGACCTGTTCTTCAAAGCACCTGAGGGCAGGACAAGAAGCAATGGATGGAAACTAATCAAGGAGAGATCCAGCTTAGAACTAAGGAGGAATTTCTGGCAGTGAGAACAATTAATCAGTAAACCGGCTTACCTCCAGCAGTTGTCAGTGCTCCATCACTGGAGGCTTTCAAGAGGAGACTGGACATCCATTTGTCTAGAATGGTGCAGGGTCTCCTGCTTGATCTGGGGGCTGGACTAGAAGAGATCCAGGGTCCCTTTCAACCCTATTATTATTATTTTATTTAATAGTAATATGTGCCTTGCCTTCCCCTGCCCCAATTGCATAGTGGCCATTAGAATCTTCCCCAAAGGTACTTACAACCCAGCTCTGAGGTTCCAACAGCAGTACACACACACACACACACACACACACACACACATTGTCCCATGACTACATTTCGGGCACTACGGAACCAGCTGATTGGTTGTGGCATTCTATAATCACATGACCACAATTCACGATGGTTTTTTTTTTATGATTTCTGACCTTTTCACCGATTTCCAGCAAAAAAACAACAACCACGCCCATAGGAACAAATGGATTTGCTTTGCAGTCATTGTGTATGCTTTATAACCACTGCAGTAAAGGTCATAAAATCAGGTTTGTCACATAGGTGCCCCGATTTATAACCATCATGGCTTATGGCAGAAATTCTAGGATCCATTATGGTGATACGTTGAGAACTATCTGTACTACTAATAGTAACAATGGTGATATTAACCTTATTATTAGCATTCTCCTAGATTTAAGTAACCTTACAGTTTCTAAGATGCTGTCAGAGTTCTGTGTTTGTTTTGCTTTTTTGTTCAAGTCCTATAAATTCAGTACCAATTTACTCTTGGTCCTCTTTCGCTTCCTGATTCGCCTCCCAAGGAAACCTACTGGGAAATAAATCCCATCAGACAGAGTTTGCATTCTATGGATGGGGGAGGATATGACCATAGCAATGCCTAAATTGTCTGGGCATTTCTCTCTCTTTTTTTTAGTAAGACTCTACTTTAAGCCTTTTTCTTTTCGCGCTGTCTTCCTTTCTTTCTTTGAAACATGTTTTGCCTTGTAGACTCAAGGAAGATGCAGTACAACCTTGGCTACCAATTTGCTGCCCAATGTTCCCAGACAATTGTTGTCCTTGGAGAGCACTGGGGTGTCCTGAAACATTTACAAAATCTCAATTCAATTAGCAGCGTGGAGACAATGTAGGTTTTGTCCTGGAGTACATGGCACCATCCAATCACTGTCGCCAATAAGCAGGCTGGACGTCCTCGGTTGCTCATTTGCATTTTATGGAACATCAAGTCTCAGCCTCCCAAAGCAGAGAGACAAAAGCAGATCTTCCCAAGACAAAAAATAACAGAATCTGCTGCATGCACAGTCAGCATGTCCAACTGTTCTTCCACCACTGCCCCATTCAAATTAAATAGCTTTTAAGATGAAATGAATGCTATCTCGAGGCTCACAAAAGTTGCACTTATGGTTGATTGGAAACCCTCTTACAGATTTTTTTTGTGTGTGTGTGAAACAAAAAACCATGAATTTTAACGATTTATAGTTTTAGACCGACTAGATTAAAGAAAGAAGTGAGTTATGTTGTAGCCCTAGAACAGTGATGGCGAACCTATGGCATGCGTGCCAGAGGCGGCACTCGGAGCCCTCTCTGTGGGCACACATGCTGTCGCCCCAGCCCCGCCTCCCCCCACGGCCTCCTCCTCACCAGCAGCCCCCCCTGGAGGAGAGTCACCCCCAGGCAGCCAAGGACATGGCAGCCAGGCAGCAGGGACAAGACTCCGCCGTCGCACGCAGATAATGTTGCGGGGTACGGGCGGAGGGCATGGCTGCTATGATGCTGCAGGGCCACCTGGGCGATCTGCAGTGGGCCATGGAGGCAGTGGGTGGCCCTGCGGGTGGGCAGGGAAGGGGGCGGGCAGGGGAAGAGCAGGCAGGGCGGGGGGCGGGTTTTGGGCACTTGGTCTCTAAAAGGTTCGCCATCACTGCCCTAGAATAAGAAACCACTTTGTCCCAAAGGTGCTTTTTCAAGAGGCAACTGGACTTCCTTTGTTTTTCCTTGAAGTCATGTGGCTTCCCATTCAAGAAGCTTCTTCAGTTCTGACAAAGAATGTCCAGTTGTCTCTTGAAAAAGCACCGTTGGGACAACCATGACCTTGACTGAGAAACTCCATAGACAAGAAACCACTTTGTACGTGTTTTTTTTTCTTTACTATTTTTTTCTTTTCTTGCACTTTTAACCCTCTCCTTGATTTCTTTCTTCCTTTCTTTTTTCTCTGTATATTAATATTAGTTTTTACTCTTTTTTTTAAACCCTTTTAATAAAATTATACCAAAATGAAGCTCACAAAAGTAACAGAATTTCAGGGCGGCCACCTGCTGCACTGTGCAAAACCTTGTGTAATTACACCAAATTCTCCCATAATCGTATACAGGTACCACCTAGCTTACAATGAGTTCAACTCTGGGCAATTCCACGGACATGTTATCTAATTTTCTTGGCTGTGATACAGAAATGATTTGGAACAGGCTATTTGGCAGACAGAAAAGGAGACAGCAATAAGTGGGTAAATGTTAATGGTTGGCAGATGGATGCTTCTCCCTAAGTAGCAAACAGACTTAGTTTTGACGCTTTGCTATTAATGATGGCATCGCTACAGCACTTCTAAATTGCATGAAGAATTGGCACATGAGGTGATTTGGAACAAGTCATCATTCTGCAGCAACAAAGTGGAGAAATATACCAGTTCTGGTCCCGCTTGGTGAAGAGGAACACTTTGAATGCTCACATGACACATGTTCTGAATTCATAAGAATTAAGAGCTTCACGTAGGGAAAGCATGTGGCCAGAGTATGCTTATGCTTCCCCCCCATACCGATTTGTCATTTCCTGTACCAAGAAATACAACTGCCAAGCAATGCATACCATCACAGATGAAGAGGCAAAACATAAAAATAACAAGGTGTTCCTAGTCCTTCTGAAGTAGTCTGGAGAAAGCCCTCCACCCCAGCCATGATTTGAGATCAGTGAAGAGTTCTTCCTTCTCCTGTGGAAAACATGCATCCATTTTGAGAACTGGTTTTGTGAAGCATTCACTTCGGTATTCTGACTATGTATGTGCATACCCTGATGGTAAAAATAGTTTGAATAGGAGACTTTCTCCTCCACATTCCTCCCACAGCACTTAGGAAGTCTACACTGAACATAGCAAAATCTGTTCAGTCTTCTCCTATCCCAGTGGTTTGTGTGTGTGTGTATGTGTACATGCATGTGCACACACTTTTTCTCTCTCACTCTCTGCTGCACAGCCTGTTGCTTAGCAATACATCTTTTCAAAGCTAAAGTTGCAGTCTCCTTTTTATAAACTTTAATGGAATTAAGTTGGTGTGTTTTATAAACAACTTTTGCAGTAACAGCTGAGTTTTAAAGTGTTGAGTCTATAATGATGGGTGGAAGCGTTTCAAAACAATGTGCTCCAGAAATTGGAGACCAGGAATCACTAGCCAAACAAACATTGAATGCGATTTTTGTTGAATCAAGTCCTAGACTTAAAGGTGGCTTATGTTACCAGAGCACATTGGTGAATGTGTCTTTTCTGAGTCACTTCCAGCATTGAGGCTCAGAAGACCCAGTGAGTCACTGAAGAGCTTAGCAACTAATTATTGCCTAGGAAAATTTCAACCTGAGTTGCATGGATATGAAAAGTGCCAGAATGGAATATTCCACTCTACTTGGCCCTGGGGGATGTCATTTCTGAATTGTAAAATCGGAGACATGGAGAAAATCACAAATGCAGAGCAGAAAGGAACAAGTATAAAAACTTTAGTCCAATTAAAAACTCCATTCCAGAGGGTAAAAAAAGCACCCACATTAAATTGGGATAATGACAACATCTATAGAGCCACAGAACTGTAAGGTTGAAAAACCTAATTCTCACAGTTGTCTAATATGTATGGATATCAACCCTTAGAGTGTGCAATGGTATTATTATTTATTCCTTTTATTATCTTCTTTACTTCCCCCTTTTATTGGTATTATGGTTTGTCACACAGTCAGCCAAATGTTCAGACTGGATTTAGCACTTTTGTCCACCTATCAAGTCCTTTCTAAGGACCTGAGATAGGCAGATGTGTATTATGGTTCGTCACACAATCAGCCAGATGTTCAGGCATTTTTGTCTACCTATCGAGTAATTATTTTTTCCATTGATTTGCAAGTACACTGAATGCTTCTACCAGAGACAAATTCCTTGTATGTCTAATCACATTTGCCAATAAAGTATTCAATTCAGTTCAACTTTCTAGCTGCCATATTGTTTAAGGGGGAAAAGGTGCTGCTAAATCAGAGGTGTTCAATCTTGGCAACTTTAAGACTTGTGGACTTCAACTCCCAGAATTCCCCAGCCAGTAGGTTGAAGTTGAAGTCCACAAGTCTTAAGTTGCCAAGGATGGACACCCATGTGCTAAGCCTTTGAGGTTTGGAATATCAGTTCTGGTTTGCTTTAGAAAATGTAACAAAATGCAGCCATGTTTACAAAACTACATCTTTGTAACTGGAAATTGGATTACCCTTAGTTGAGTAAGACATTTAGTCCAGGGCTAGACGCTCTCTCTTTTGGAATATTGCTACCTCTTAGCACAGTGGCCTCCAAATAATTTTTCTGAAGAATTCATTCATAAAAATGTCATCTTAGTCAGCCTTCCACATCATACTACCAGCTCTGATTGTTATGTTGGAGCTTCAGAACTTCAGCAACTTCAGAATTCCTAGCCAGCTGTTGTTTTTCTTTGTGTCTGACCCATATGATTTCTTGCACGCACCTAGTTCTTGTAGCAAAGTTATTAACAGAGGATGCAATGAAGGGTTTTGTGGTAGATGCTAATTAGCACATAGAAGCAATGACCAGCCCAAGGTGACTCATCTGACTCCCACACATAAAGGAGAACTATAGATCTTGGTGCTGAATTAACTCATTTTCTAAGTTTCTGCTATACAAGGCCAGTTTGGTGTAATGATTAAGGTATCAGGCTAGAAACTGGGAGTTATTGA